TTGTTCACCCATCTATCCGTCCCTATACCCATGTTTGCTTTCATTGACAACTCAGTATTGTATTTACAAAGGGGTTCATATTTGTTGTTTGTACTGCTGGGGTGGTGTTCTTGACATCCTTTATCATCACTGAGACTTGTAGTACCCAAGCATCACTTTCTTGTGGTACATGAGCTGCTTTCTTACTCTCAACCTAACAACAGCTAGTCTGGCCTGTGATACTCAGATGCTGGGCCAGTGTCAGATCAGCTGCATAGGACTGCCTAGGAAGCTTCTCAGCAGAGATTTCTGGGCAACACTTAGGTCTATTCTCATAGGTTTGGTTTTGGGGTAGTGTGGTAGATAGAATAATGGCAGCCCAAAATGTCCATGTTGTAATGGGAACCTTGGAATATGTTACCTAATCATATGGGGCCAGGTCATCTCATCCCTATTCAGTTGAGATGTTGTCAGCTATGCCCCCCCATTTAGTCAAGGTCAGCTCATCCCTAGTCCCTGTGGGCTAGGTCAGCAGGTACCAAAGGTTGGGTTCAGCAGCCTACACAACTCCCTGCACTTCAGACCAGCCAGCCCCTTGTCTCTCATTACTAGCTACCCAGGGGTAGGTGCCAAAAAAACATGTCCAAACTCAGCCCATCTCTTCAATGCTGCACTTCCCCACTTCCATTCATCTCATGGACTCAAGTGGTCACCTCATCAAGTACTAGCTCAGTTGGGCATACCAGTCTATCTACTCGCTGGCTTCCTTTAACTTTCAGTCCTGGAAGGAGGTTCTCATGGGCACTGACATTTCCAGCCTTGATGCACCCAATGATGAATCATTTACCTGAAGTTCAAAAAGCAAAACAGTATTTCTTCCTCTCTCCCAGCAGTCCTGGATGAATTTGCATGTCTTTCAAATAGTAATTTCCTGCTCGTAAGTTTCTAGATGGGGCTTAGTTTTCTTTCTTTTTTTAAACTAAGTCCCAAATACCCTATATACATGGAAATGAATAGCGTGTGTTTCTTTCAGGCAAATCTTAGTTCTTCTTTTAGCATATCGTATCAAGTACTGGCTGAAAGCAGAGTTACTCTCAGTTTTTGACAATATTCGATATCCATGTCAATCACACATTTATGTCTGTTGTACACCACTGGGTAGGAGAAACATAGTTTATTCAGATAAATGAATAAACTTTTTTAAAAAAACATTCTATTGTCATCCTTTCTTCACCTCATTCATATGCATATGGTCTTGGGCTTCTGGCTAGGTGGAACCAGAAGTTCCCAGCCCCCTGTCAGTCATCTTGCTTAACCTGCTGGGCTGTCACTCAAGCCACTCCAGGCTTTCCTCTCCTCAGATTCCCTATCTGCTGCTCCAGCATAACATCCCTTTCCTTTTAGCAATTACAGATAACAACAAAAGTAAACATCCAAGAATCAAAAGGTTCACTTCCCATACTCTTTCATCCTTTCTCTTCCAAAATCCCATGCTTCTGTGAATCAGGAGCCATTGCAACAAATCCCACTTCTGACACCAATAATGTAGCAGGAGTGTCAGATCTGTAACTTTAGGGAGAATGAGAATCGGCCCAAAGGCAATTCCCATGAGGCAGAGGTCAAACATATATCTACTTTCCAATCTTTTTACTAATTGACACCAGCTGTCCTCCCCACAGCACTGTCTACTTCTCTTCTGGGTTTGATAGTCATTGCTGTGGTCACCTTGAACTCACAGACCATACTTACGGTTATATGGTTTATTAGGGAATTAATATGGGATCAAGATTGACTTAGAATTAACAGGAATAACTCAGGATACAGTTCTTTGATCAGGACAACTTCTCTGTTGTTGCCACCAATCCCTCACTCTCAGCCTGGGGCTGGCCTCTGCTTGTCTTCTGCCCAAACTAGGGCCTGGCCTCTGCCCCTGCTTGGGTAAGTGTTACAGCTTTTTAGCTCCACCAAGTGCCCAGAGCCACCCGAGTCTGTCAGCAAGCCTCCTCCATAGGCCCACTCCTCTGTAGGTCAGCAAGCCCTGCTCCTTTAGCTCCTCTGACAATTGCCTGTAACATCCTAGTCTGCCAGCCAGCCTCCTGCCTGAAGGTGCTCTGCTCCCTTGCTCCATGGTTCAGTAAGCCCATGGTAGCTGCCTGGCTCCATGGAAAAAGAAGCATTCCATGCTGTCTCTTGCTGGTCTCCTGGATCTATCGCCACCTCTCCAGTGTTACAGCTCTGTCTCCTGCGTCTATGCAGTTCTCAGCACAGGGGGCCTGGGGCCAAAGGACATACTCTCTTCCAGGCTTTTCTTGATGATAATGAGGTACCCTTCAACTTCTGTGGGATAAGTGCTTGCAAGTGCCTCAATCCTATTGGGTGGATTTTATGCATCCTATTTGTATAATAACTGACCAATCTTCTCACTGGACTAAACTAACCAATCCCCTGACAAGTGGCTTCATCTATTTGCATAATACCTGACATTTTGTTTTAGACAGAGGCTGGTTTCTTTCCTGAGTAGCTGTAACAAGCGCAACTTAACAACTCCTCAGGGCCCAGAGGAAAAAAATCTCACAAGCTGTTTTGTTTTTCTTTTTCACAGAACCAAGACAAAAGGCCACATATAGAAACTCATTTTACCACAATTGAAGTGAGGTGGTGTGAGAAGGACTTAACACACTGTTCCTGGTTTTGAGGATGGAGGAAGGGGGCCATGAGTTAAAGTTAGCCTGTGGTAGCTGGAAAAGGCAAGGAAATGGTTCCCTAGAAGAACCAGTTTCCAGAAAGGAATGCAGCCCTGCCAACAGCATTATTTTAGCTCAGTGAGACCTATGTCTGATTTCTGATTTACAGAACATTAATAAATGTGTTGTTTTAAGCCACTAAATTTGTGGTGATTTGTTACAGTAGCAGTAGAAAATGAATTCTGGTGGGGACCAAGACTCCTTATTTTTAGTCAGGCTGTGCAGGTAACTGATTGGCAGCCCCAAGATCAAGCTGTTGTTGTTGTTGTTATGTGCCATGGAGTTGGACCCAACTCATAGCAACCCGTCCTTGGGTTTCCAAGGCGGTATCTCTATGGAAGTAGATTGTCCAACCTTCCTTCCAAGGAGTGGCGGATGGGTTTGAACCACCAGCCTTCTGGTTAGCAGTCAAGTGCCTTAGGTACTATGCTACCAGAGCTCCTTGAGACCAACCTACTTTCCTCTTTATTTCAGGCAGTTGCTGCCATATCTGTGTTACTCATTCTTCCAAATCTATCATTTTTGTACAGCCCAACTGCTGTAGCCTGTCCTTTGTACTACTATAACCTTTAACCTTAGCTCAGCCTTTATTGGTAGCTTCTGTACCCCATATCATGTGTTTTCTACTTTCAAAGCCATCACTCCCATTCACTTTGCTATTTCTACTATAGGCACCAGTCATGGAAAACACCAATCATACATTTTTTTCCTAAGGTATTGTTATGTGCCTGTGGTAGTTCAGTTTGTATGTTAACTTGGCTGGGCCTGGTTGAGTGGATGGGCAGCTGGTGGTAGTTATTCCCCATGGTGAGACTGGCAATTGACTCCATGGTGGGATGGATCTACCACAAGCAGCTGAGTAGCTGCCTTTGGGATGTGGTCTGCTCCCTCTATATAAGGAGAAACCTTAGGGATAGTCTCTAGCTTATGGTACCTTGAACCCTGGATGTAGCCATGCCATTATTCAGCAGCCTGCCATGCTCTGCCGACCTTGGAACTTATTACGGACTTGAATGAATGGCCTGCCATGTGATTTGGTAATATCAGGACTGTGCCTTTTTACTTGTCAACCTTGGGCTTGGCAGCCTTATCAGCTAGTAGCTGCCTGAGTAAAGAAAAGCTGCTAACTTCAGTGGGCCGGGAGCTTGAGGCAGAGCTAAAACCCAAGGCTTAGGGGCTTTCACCTAGCCCCTAGAGTGTGGCACTTTGAACTTGGACCAAAAGCCTCCAAATTGTAAGAATAAACTCCTGTTTGTTAAGGCCATCCCATTTGTGGTATATTCTTGTCAGAGCAGCACTAGGTAACTAAAACAATGCCCTTGAGTTGATTCTGACATAGCAACCTCATAGGACAGAGTAAAATTGCCCCATAAAGTGTCCTAGATTTTAATCTTTATGGGAGCAAATCACCAGGTCTTTTCTGCTACAGAAAAGGATTCAAATCACCAACCTTTCTGCTTCAATGGTTAGCAGCAGAGTGCTTACACTGTGCCAGCAGGGCTCCTTTTCTAAGGCATGGTAGCTGGAAAAGAAATTAGTACATATATAAACAGTGGAAAGGTCTCTTGTTGTGATTCAGTCAGTCCCAACTCATGGGGACCCCAGGAACATCTAATGAAACACTGCCCATTCCTGAGCCATCATCATGATTGGTTGGTGACTGGACTGTGGTAATCCATAGGGTTTTCACTGGCTGACTTTTGGAAGCAGATACCAGGTATTTCTTGCATTGGATAGAAATTTCCAAATAATGGTAGGAGGTAGGGTGTAGGACTCAGGGTACTGTTCCCATTATGTGTTTGTTATGTATGTAAGGAGCTCTGGTGGCATAGTGGGTAAGGCATTTGGCTGCTAACCAGAAGGTCAGTGGTTCTAAACCCACGAGCTGTTCTGAAGGAAGAAGATGAGACAAATACTTCTGTAAAGATTTACAGCCTAGGAAACCCAATGGGGGTTCTTATGAGTCAGAATCCAAGAGGATGGCAGTGGGTTTTGGGGTGCCTGTTTCTAGGTAGTACACAAATGGACATTCTAAAAACATTAATGGTTATGTATTTGTCTCAAGGTAAGTTTAATGCTGGCATTATTATTAGGGTGAGGCTGTTAAAAGAAGTGCTCACTAAAAAACTTTAAGGATGCAATTATGTGAGCAAACAAACCTGTTTGACCTCTGTGTTGGGTGAAGGCACACACCATGGGGGTGAAATACTTTCCTTTTCACATATTCCAAACTCTTGTGGAAGGTTAACCTCTCACCCCCACCCTAAAGGAAACCTTTCTCGTTATGAACTGAGAGCTCTTGTTATGTGCCTTGGAGTCAGACCTGACTCATAGCGAGCCCTCCTTGGATTTCCGAGGCGGTATCACTACGAAGTAGATTGCCCAACCTTCCTCCCGAGGAGTGGCTGGTGGGTTTGAACCACCAGCCTTCTGGTTAGCAGTCAAGTGCCATAGGCACCACGCTACCAGAGCTCCCGAGAGCTCTTGGGCCCCAGAACAAAGAGGGCCAGGCGGCAAAAAAAAGGCAGTGTCGGGAAATGGAACAATAGTAACAACACAAAAACCAATCCCACCGCTACTGGATTGAATCCGACTAGTAGAGATCATCGCCGAGTTTCCAACGCTTGTAAATCTTTAGTTAGTAGATTGCCTCATCTTCCTCCCATGAAGCAGCTAGCAGTTTGAACTGCTGATCTTTTAGTTAGCAGCCAAACGCCTTAGGAAGTAGACGAAGAGACGCTATAAGGGAGTTTGCTGCCAGAGGTTCTAAGTCAAGGCCTCGCCCCCTCCCGCCCCAGAGGAAGAATCAGTCGCCGCTACTTCCTGTGGGCTCTGGACGTCTCCTAAAACCCAAAGGCAGGAACTGAAGACCGGAACCTTAAGCTGTAGCATTTTCGGAAGTTAACTCCTCTTGCGAAGATGATTGGTTGTTGCTTTGACCTATTAACGCTTTCCTCCCGATCTTCGTGCGGCGCGTGCGCATTGGCACTACTGAAAATCATGTCGGAAGAGGTATTGGGCTTTGAGCACATGGGCCTCGACCCCAGGCTCTTGCAGGTACGGGCGGAAGGCTGAGCAGCCAGGTTCACGGGCTCCACGGGAGCGGAGACTTTGGCTTGGCGGGAAGCAGTGTCCGTGGGGGTCCTCAACCACCCTTCGCGCCACATTAGCTGCTTGTCGCCTCGTCTGTCCTAGGCCGTCACGGACCTGGGCTGGTCGCGACCTACACTTATCCAGGAAAAGGCCATCCCACTGGCCCTAGAGGGGAAGGATCTCCTGGCTCGAGCCCGCACGGGTTCAGGAAAGACGGCTGCTTATGCTATTCCTATGCTGCAGCTGCTGCTCCACAGGAAGTCGGTGAGTGATCGGCAGGACTGAGGGAAGGAAGGAGACCAGCCCTAAGAGGCTGGTAAGGGGGTTGCAGGTGTCTTTTAAGTACTCCTTTATGCTTCTTGGTTTCCAAGAAATAAGCCATGTTGTCCCTCTACCCCACTCTGCCATGGCCGTCTTTTGGTATCTTACTCTTGAAGGCTGGCCTGAGAACTATGCTGTTGTTGAAAATGCTCTGGGCTGGAATTCTGGTTATCTAGGTTCTATTCCAGGTCCTGCAACCACCATTCTTTGTGTAATCTTGGGGAAATTTACTGCCCGTTTTTTTTTTCCCCCTTCTATATAAAAAAGGGTCATGTCTCCCCTTTGCACTTTGTAGAATTATTGTGAGGTTCTAGCCTCATAACTGGTACATTTTAAGTAACTTCATAACCATAGAGTAAGCTACTCTTTAAGGATCAGTGCCTGGGGAAAGACTCTTGCTCTGCATTCTAAAGTGGGCTGAAATATGTGAAGGGTTGATGAGAATACAGCTAAATTGTTATGTTAAGGTGGGTGGTTCATAATGCTTTTAAGAAGTAGAGAAAGGTGTCAGGTGGTCACAGTGATGGGAACCAGCTGGCAAAACTCTTTAAATTATCTTCTTACAGACAGGTCCTGTGGTAGAACAGGCTGTGAGAGGCCTTGTCCTTGTGCCCACCAAGGAGCTGGCAAAGCAGGCACAGTCCATGATTCAGCAGCTTGTGATGTACTGTGCTCGGGACATTCGTGTGGCTGATGTCTCAGCTGCTGAAGACTTGGCCTCTCAGAGGTGGGTGAAAGGAGCAGGGATATAGGGGTATGAAGCTACCAGAGATGTAGGATTGGATTTGTGTGCAGCAAGAAAGAGAGAGCTTATCTTGGGTGGGGTTACAACTGCTGCATCCCTTAGCACTGTGTTCTTCCCTGATAATGAAGTCTTACTTATTGTTAGAGCTGTGCTCATAGAGAAGCCTGATATTGTGGTGGGAACGCCATCTCGCATATTAAGCCACCTGCAGCAAGAAAACTTGAAACTGCGTGACTACCTAGAGTTGGTGGTGTTGGACGAGGCTGATCTTCTTTTTTCCTTTGGCTTTGAGGAAGAACTCAAGTGTCTTCTCTGGTAAGAAGAGGTCTCACAGTGCAAGAATTTATGAATAGAGATTTGAGCCTAGAGCAGCTGGCTGGCAGTTCACGACAGCCAGATCAATTAGAGGCCCTGGGGTTGGGGTCTGACTGGACTCTGCTCTGTTTCAGTTACTTGCCCCGGATTTACCAGGCTTTTCTTATGTCAGCTACTTTCAGTGAGGATGTGCAAGCACTCAAGGAACTGGTGCTTCATAACCCGGTAAGGGATACCACTGGAGTGTTTGGAGCTGCATATGTCTTGGTACCCAAAGGACTTAATGTTACCTTCTCAAAGGAGCCTTGTTGGTGTTTGGGTGGGACAGCTGTTACTGGGTGTAGTATACCTGGTCCCAAGGCACTAAAAGCTAGTAATACCCCTACTCCCCAAAGTCATTTTATTGCACTGCATAGTTCAAGATGTCTTCAGGGGTGTCTTTGTTCCAATTTAAGTTATGCTTTTCCTGAAAGTCTGAGCCGGGATCTCAAGGGACAGAAGAACTGCATAGGGCAGCAATCCAAAAATCTAAGGTTCTTCCCTTATGAGAATTTTCCCTTCAGAAGTGTTGCTTCTCTTGACGATATAGTAATTTATTGATGTGCTTCTCTTTGTTTCGTGTTTCAAATAATTTATGTATAGTTTTGTATATTTTTTTATACCACAATAAGTTCTTGGGTGGCACAAACAGTTAACCACTCAACTACTAGCCAGAAGGTTGGCAGTTCGAACTCACCCAGAGGTGCCTTGGAAGATAGGCCTGGCGATCTGCTTCTAGAGGGTGACAGGCTTACAAACCCTATGGTGTAGTTCTATTCTCCATGTATGAGTTGCCTTGAATTAGAATCAATTAGACAGCAACTAACCACAGAGTTAAAGCACTTTGACTTTGTATATTTGGGTGGGCGGGAAACTTAAGGTACCAAAACTCCTCAAATGTATCTCTGCCCTATCCTAAAATGATTGGAGAGTCAGTGGCTTGCAATGGCATTTCTGTCTTTTTCCTTCCTGACCAAAGGCCCACCCTCTCCCTAGGTTGTCCTCAAGTTACAGGAGTCCCAGCTGCCAGGGCCAGACCAGCTTCAACAGTTTCAGGTGGTCTGTGAGACTGAGGAAGACAAGTTTCTGTTGCTGTATGCCCTGCTCAAGCTGTCATTGATCCGGGGCAAGTCTCTGCTATTTGTCAACACTCTGGAACGGAGTTACCGGCTCCGCCTGTTCCTGGAGCAGTTCAGCATTCCTGCCTGCGTGCTCAATGGGGAACTCCCACTGCGCTCCAGGTTCGCTGCTTCCACTGTCTTTGTTGATGTAAGCCAAAGACAAGAAGGACTGAAAAGGGAAACCCAGCTGCTGATTGTTTCTTAAGCCCTCTGTAGGGCCAGGCACTGAACTTGATGTGCTGACTTCTCACAGTCCTGATGTACCAACGTAGGATATTGAGGCCCGTTGGTTAAGAGGAGAAAAAGTAGTAAAGGGTAGTGGTTCCGATGGTGGTGTGGGGGCTTCCTTTTGCCTCACATGCTCTGTGGGACTTAACCTTCTACTCTTTGCCGCAGGTACCACATCATCTCACAGTTCAACCAGGGCTTCTATGACTGTGTCATAGCAACTGATGCTGAAGTCCTGGGGACCTCTGTTAAGGGCAAACATCAGGGCAGAGGAGCCAAAGGAGACAGGTGACACCACATCTTATTCTCCTAGCCCACTCCTGAGCTCTTAGGAAGAACGTCAGGCCAGAGTGCTTGGAGCAGGGAGTTAGATGTTTTGGGCTGGGCTCAAAGCTTGGCCAGTATATCAAAGGGGGTGAGGGTACATACCATCCATGCTCTGGTCAGCACAAAGGTTAAGATTGTCTCTCTACCTCATTGTTGGATTGTGCTATGCTATAAGGGAGGATATGCCTGGGCTGCATCAGGCTGGAGTTGTGCCTTGTGGCATGGGTCTTTCTGAGCTCCACTTGGGGCAACCACTGATAGGCTAGGAAAAGGGAAGTTACCTATCTGTCTGCCCTCAATAGTCCACTGGCCCAGGGTGAGGACTTAATAGTTCTACTGCTTTGCCCCAGGATTGAGATAAGGGTTTGGCCTAAGCTGGAGGGCCACCAGGCTACCTCACCCCACCAAGTCCTAAGTTCTAATTGTAAGGGTTTTACATATATTAGAGTGCTGTGGTTCCATTTGCAAATCTGTTTAAGGAGGTGATTTTGCTGACCTCACTTGCGCAGAGAAGGGGGCAGGCTGATGTTGGATTGTTTCCACAGGGCTTCTGACCCCGAATCTGGTGTGGCCCGTGGTATAGACTTCCACCAGGTGTCTCTGGTGCTCAGTTTTGATATTCCACCTACCCCTGAGGCCTATATCCACCGAGCTGGCAGGTAGGGCTACAGGTGTGGGTCAGGGTGTTGGTCCAGCATGCTGGAGGACTTGGTTGTAAGTAGACCAGAGCCTGTTGTAGGAAATTCAGGTAGCTTATCTCTCCTTACAGGACAGCACGTGCCAACAACCCAGGTGTGGTCTTAACCTTTGTGCTGCCCACAGAGCAGGCCCACCTAGGTGAAATTGAGGAACTGCTCAGTGGAGGTAAGAGCCCCATTCCCCTGGGCATGGGCCAGGGCCAAGCCTTTACTTCCAAACTATAAAATAGCAGCACAACTTGGACTGCATTGGATGATAGAGAAGATAGTATTAAGAAGATAGTCGTGGTGACAGAGCTACTGATACGTACTAAGTACTGTGTGCCAGGCCCTGTGGTCAGTGTGTGACACACTGGGCTACATGGGATCATCACTCTTCCCTGTGCAGCAGGCACTGCACCTCATTTTACAGATGAGAAAACTGAGCTTCAGAACAGTCAAATAATTTGTTCAAAGTCTTCTTTACATGCCTCCCTCATAGAGTAGAAAGGCAGAGGGAGAGGTTTAAAATCTCAGGCAGTCCTGGAAAGGCTAGCAGGTGTCCAAGGAGGTGGCCCTGGGAGAGGACTGGATAGTTGAGGCCCATGGAGGGGAGAAGCTCTGCAGCATGTAGCACACAGCACTGGCACCTCTGAGCTGGAGCTGATCTAGGAGCAGTACCATCTTGGATTCACAGACTAGGGAAAGAGAATAGCAGAGTGGCAGCTAGTGCTGTGGAGAAAGAATGGTAGAGAAGGGAAGGATCTGCTTCACTGCCTAGGAGATTGTGGGCAGGGAAGTCTAGAGAGCCTTCAGGAGCCCTGGTTCTTGGTGTTGACTGATGTAGGGTATAGGGGTCTCACATCCTCGTGTGAGTGCTGAGACCAGCCCTCTTCCCTTTTGCCAAGGAAGGTAGATGCCAGGGAAGGGCACTGCTTGCCTCTGGATACTACATAGAGGGTGGGGCCTAGGAGACACCATTTAGCTGAGACTAGGGGGTGGGGCTGAGACTGGTTGGGGAAGCAAGGGGAGATATTGGGGATTATTTGTCTGCCTTCATTTCTGTACCTGAAGGTAGCGATAACAACAGTACCTGTATCATTGGTTTGTTGTGACTGTGAGGTGACTTGATGCACTATGGTATATAGTGCTTGAACAGTACCTGACAACGTTCATGTTTAATTTTACATGTAGTGTTCTAGGCACTGAAGAGCAGCTACATATGGAGGGATCAAGGACCCCCAGGGTCAGGGTACACAGGTCACTCTCATAGACAGTGTCATGGGCCTCCTGCATTGGAACCCAGAGCACAAATGCTGCCTGTGGGCCCAGAGCAGGGCCCAAGGTATAGTTGGGCTTATGCATCTGGCTTCTTGGGAGACCCTGTCCTGAGCTTTCAGTCCTGATGGACCTCTGCTGCCTTGTCTACAGAGCATGGGGCCCCTGTCCTACTTCCCTACCAGTTCCGGATGGAGGAGATTGAAGGTTTCCGCTACCGCTGCAGGGTGAGAGGGACGTGATGGAAAGTGGGAGAGGTGGTGGATGAAGAAGCCATTCTTTTAGGGCCCAGGGATAATGCTATTGTTGCAGAGTACTCAGGGACAAGGGAGTGGACAGCCACACTGTGCTGATGGCCACATCTGCCCCTATAGGATGCCATGCGCTCAGTGACGAAACAAGCCATCCGGGAGGCAAGGCTGAAAGAGGTGAAAGAAGAGCTGTTGCGTTCTGAGAAGCTCAAGGTGAGGGATGGGGCAGGACTAGAAGGTTTGCTCTTAGCTACCAGCCTGCTAGGCTCAAGATGGGAGCAGGGGAGAGTAAGCTATAGCCTTGAGTAGGGCCGGGAGAAAGTGGCTGAAGACAGTGGGAGGAGCCAGCTTAACTACTGGGACAATCTGTTGGCCCAGCGTCTGTATGCTGTCCACCAAAATTACAAATTCACATAGCATTTGATCTAGAAATGCTGCTTCTAAGGGTTTATCTATTAGACGTACTCATGATTGCAAAACCATATTTGCACCAGCGCCCATCACAGTGTTATCGTTGTACCAGGATGGTTGCAGTCTAATAGTCTAAGAGTTTAGGGGCTCATTAAAAAAATTATGGAACATCCAAATAACTACATTTTCATAGACTTAGAATGAGGAGGTTATTTATGTGTCAGAGTAATCTCTTAAGATGTTAAGTTAAAAAACAAGGTGCTGAAAAACAAGGGTATGGTATACTACTATTTGTCTTATAATAAAGGTTATGTACACATGTAGTACATGTGCATATATATTCTCAGAAAGAAACAAAAGTAGGAGGGCAGTTGGGTAACTGGGGATAAAGGGGTAAGGAAACTTCATGGTATACCCTTTTGTATTTTGAAACATGTGATAACATTATTTCTTCTAACTAAATCCATAACACTTAGAAAGAATGATACTGACCCCATGTCTTCAATGTCAGACATACTTTGAAGAGAACCCCCGTGACCTTCAGCTGCTGCGACATGACCTTCCCTTGCACCCTGCAGTGGTGAAGCCACACCTGGGCCACGTCCCTGACTACTTGGGTGAGTGCAGCCCTGGGCATGAGAGGATGGTGAGAGGGGTGGGCATACAGAGCTTGGGTGGGTCAGGGGGCATGTGCCATGCTCTGTGCTGGTGCTGTGGCACTGGGGATGCCACTGTATATGTGGCTTTTTATTCAAACTGGCCTTAGCAGTCCTGGAAGTAGGTACTGCTGTCTCCACTATGGTACTAGGAAAGTTTTAGCACCACAGAAGGGCCTCATGCCAGGAAGGGAGAACAGGAAGGGGTGCCTAGGTGGTTTTCTACAGAGCTTGTCATTGGAAAAGTGAGTGAAGGCTGGCTGCTGAAAGCATGAGCACAGGTTGGGAGAGGGTGGCAGGAGATGGAAACTGTCAGCTGGGACACTGAGGTGAAGGTTGGGGTGGCTGTGGGATCAGTAGAAAGGAATAACAAGTAGAGAGGAAGGTCTGTGGGCTGCAGTGTAGAAGGCGGAAACAGACACTAGGGAAGAGGGCTGAAGCAGGAGGGAGCCACTAGAACCCTAGGAAGAATGCCTCCAAGGGCTGAATATCAGGAGGAGTGGTGGCAATGACGGGACACTGGTGATGAGGAGTGACTCTAAGTTGGCTGTTGGAAGGTATGGGCAAACATCTAGAGGTTTCTGTGGTTCGATGAGGCCAAAGCTTGACCTCAGAGGTTCAGGAGTCTGCCTCGCTATATGTGTGGTCATGGTATCATATGAGGCCAACTCTAGGGATGGCTTTTCTTTTTTCGTGTTCCATGTTTTGGTATCACAGCGTAATGAGCATGTGTTGCTTTTATGATAAAAAATGCGTAAAGTGATTAAAGGAGAAGAGCAGCTGAGGAGGAAGTTATGGGGCAGGCAGAGACCAAAGGTAGATCAGATAGTGCTAGAAAGGCCCAAGCCAATTTGAGGGGAGGGATCTAGAAGAGGTAGGAGAAAATGAAAATGCTAGAGAAGGAGAGATTACTGGAGCAGCTGCCAGCTAGGAGGGGTCATAGTTTGGAATGGGAGGAGGGATATCTCCTCACAGAAGGGAGGGGAGGACAGAGTATAGGGGGGAGATAGGCCAGGATTGAGGCAGAAGAGGAGAGGAGGGAGCTTTGCTTTGTGGAACTCTGTTGTGTTCTCTGTCATTTGACAAGACAGTGTGGCTGGGGGGTTTGGGATGGCCACAGCCCACTGGAAAGTGTGGTGATGGGTACTAAAGGGTAGGTCTGGGTACCCAGGACTGATGAGACAGAGGGAGCACAAGAGGGTTTGTAAAGGGACTGAGGTGAGGCTGGCCTGCAGGAGGACTAGGCCCTGTGGGAAGTCAGTGAAAATGGAATTGGGGCTGGGGGAGGATGACTTATTCTAAGGAGGAAGGGGAAGGGAGGTCACCAGTTTGGGGTATTTAGAGTTTGTAATGATGGGCCACAGAGGAAGAAAGTGATTTCTATTTTAATAGCACTTCTCTTAAGAAACAATGCCTTTATTTTTCCTTTTTTTGTTACATACCTATTGGAACACATTTAAACACTACAGAAGCGTGGTTTAGATGGTGGGAGTCCCTATAGTCCTACTTCTTTGATAAGTGGCTCCATGCCTGTGGGTTTAGCTACTGGCCATCAGGAAGTGTGTGAAGTGTCATTTATGAAGACTGAAGTCAGCTCTTATAAATGGTCTTGGGGGTTGTGCTCACTGAAGCAGTGAGCTCCCTGAGTAGTGGGGTTGTGCAGATACAGAAGCAGGAGGCTTGGTGTGATGGTGAGTAGGAGTGAGCTACTAGAGGGACAGAGAGGCTCTCAGTGGAACATATTTGTCTTTTGTCTCCTGAGGCCTTTGTGGAGAGCCAGCGATGAAGGCAGGTAAATAAGGTAGGGGCACTGAGGGTACTAGGCTCTGCTGAGTAGCTACAATCTCTCCCCAGTCCCTCCTACTCTTCGTGGAGTCATCCACCCTCATAAGAAGCGGAAGAAGCATTCCTCCTCCTACCGGAAAGTTAAGGTACATACATCCCACTGTGGGTTTTGGCCAGGGCGGCTGCAGCACCTCTCTTGTTCCCATTTCCAGTTGCTTTTGGGATGTCTGGCACAGCAGGACCTTGCCCTTGGGGAGCAGGAGGGAGGGTCCCTCCACCCTGTCCAGGGAGTCCCCAAGAACTGCTGTAGAAGTCCCAGCAGCTGGATCCAAATTAGGTGGGTTGGGAACACTGCTGTCCTTGCCCCTGGCTCTGGCAATTATCAGGAACAAAAAAGAAGCCGTTTTTCTGTCCATAGTTGCCTTTCTTTTTCATGTATCTCCACTAGAGAGCAGTGAAGGGGATGTGGGGTACTAGGAAGAACAGAGCAAGGAGGATGGGGGGTGAGGCCCAGGCCGAAGATGAGAGGGAAAGATGTTAGAGAATGGATAGCACTGCCCTTGTCTGGATCCAGCATAGCTTTAGAAAGGTCATGGGAGGTGGCAGCCCTGTCCCTCTTAGCGTCTGTTTCAGGTAGGCAGATGATTGGACCCTTAATTAACCCACAGTTTTACCTCCTTGCAGAAGGGTAAGACCCAGAACCCACTGCGCAGCTTCAAGCACCAAGGGTAGAAGCCTAGAACTGCACCAATGCCCTCCTGAACACCTGGTTGTCCTGGACCCCTTGCTATCTCTCAAGCCCACCCTAGGCAGCAGCAGACTGCACTGCTAGGGACAGGCACAGTGGTGGCCCACAGTGCTGCAAGCAAGGCTGGTTTTGGCATTTTACCACTTAACAGAATAAGGGTTTTAGCTGCTGCTTTCTGCTTCCAACATGTAGGAAGGAACTATCCCCTGAAACATTGGGAGTAGGGAGAATGAGGCTTCCAGATGGCAGGGCTCTGGTTGCTGCCTCTAGTATCTCATGTGGCCAGCAGAGGGCAGCCTGTGAAGAATGGAGGTTTGGGTCACAGTGAACTGAAACCTGCCCTTGTCTGTGCAGCTTCTTAGCCCTTTCTTCTGGCCCCTGCTTTGCTCTGGCCCAGAGCCTTTCCTGACTGGCTTACTTACTGTCGTAGGTCACATCTGGGTACCCACCTACCTGACAAATGTGTCTCCTTCCCTGGTAATTCAGAAACTACATTCTGCCAGGGAAGATAGATCTCTCAAGTACGTGCAAATGGTAAAGTCAAAGGGGCCTAGGAAAAGGAATCACCCATCCCAGCCTCTCAGCAGCCTTCCTCAAAGGCAGCCACTGTTACTGCCTTCTGAGGCTTCTTTCTGAAGTTTTTTGTGTATATAAGCATGTATGTATACATGTAATAAACACACAAATACCATCATAGTGGATGCATACATTGTCTTTTCCTCGAATACATGCCTGAGCTCCTCAGTTGCTTTTTCTCGGCCCCCATTGGCAGGAGGGGTCCAGCTCCAGGCTCTGACATTCCAGCTCATCCTTTGCTCTGTTGTCTTGGACCTGAAAAAGGTAGGGATCCTATGCTGACTCTGTGCCTGGACCATGCCTCTTGGTCAGCCACCCTCTGCTGCTTATCACTTACCACCATCTGCTGATTAGGCGTCACAAGGCAAATAGGAGTGGCATGAGAAGAAGATGTGGTAGGGGAAGAGGCATGAGAAAGGGAAGGAAATTTGCTAAATGTTTTGAGTATTTCCTTTAGTTTAGAAAGAGCCAGGCTGTCATAGCTAAAGGTAAGCACCACTGTACAAAGGAAAAGGGGTAGAAACACTGGTTATGGTTCGGTAGGATGTGTAGGATTTGGGGTTTGTAGGACCTCAGATTTGGTGCTGGGGTTGGCATTCCCTGTGCTTCTGTTACTTTTTTTGAGAATTATCTGGAAGTGAGATGTGTCTGATGGCAAACTGCTGAATTCAGGTGGGATGTGCAGCCACTGCAGTGTAAGTCAGGTTTTTTCAGTTTTTATGTTTTGTGGCTGGCTGTATTAGGAAGGAAAAGTGGTTAATACAGCTGGAGATCATAAAGGCAGCAACTTTACGAGTGTCTGTGGGGTCCTGAGAACTGTACCACACCTTTTTTATGAGCTTTTATTCTTAGAACCACAAAGTCATTGCATGTCACTCCCATTCTGTGGATGAGGAAACAGGCTCCGAGAGGCCACGGCACTGAGATTGGTCATTGGCAGTGTTAGAACTCAGCCTGCTTCTTTCCATACTGTTTTCTAAGATGGACAATGGAGAGTGCTCAGACTGGGCACTTAGGATGTTGTTTGCTAGACTCAAAAGCCAAGCAAAATTCCAGCCAAGCTGTGCTCTTGGAGGCCCATGTGCATGTCCTACCCACCTGTCACTATTGTAATTTCTTACATCTGTAACCCTGAAAGTACCAGACACTCCAGGATGCAGGCAAGATTGGGTACTTGGGCTTCTCAGTGGTTTTCCTCCTTAATAGGGATAGGGCTGGTGCTCTTCTCTGGACTGTATCCCTAATTGGGAACAGCTGCGGTCTGGGCAAGCAGTGGGCTCGGGCTCAGGCATAACAATAAGCCCTTTGTTAAGCATTCTGCACACATAATCTCATTCTGTCCTCCTGACAGCCCTTGGGAAAAGCTGTGGCCCAGAGATGTCATCAGGCTCACTTAGGGTCTCTGAGGCTGGTATGGGGCTGAGCTAGGTATGAACAGGGCCTGGCTAACACCACTGCCATGCTCTTAACTGCTGCCCTGTTTCTTCCTCAGCTCCTTGCCAGGGCTGATGAGACGCTGTCCATACCAGCAGTGGACTAACTAGTACTACTAGGGTGCTCACCCACAAATAGAATGACAGCTATGATTCTAAGCACTTTGAAAGCTAAACTGTGCCTCCCATGACTCCCTGGTTGGGCTGGACCAGGTAATAGCACCTGGTAGGGGCTGAATGGGCTCTCCCTGTGCCTATACCTGCACCCTGATCTGTCAGTCAGCCAGACCTAGTTCTGGAGCATAGAGGTAAGTGTATAGGCTGCATTTAGTCCTCACACAATTCCATAGTATAGGCACTATCATCACTTGTGTTTGAGAGATCAAGCTGTTATTCAAGGGCAGGGCTGCCACATGAACTCAGTTCTGTCTGGTAAAGCCTGTGTCTTTAATCCTCCTACCATAGTCTCCAGACAAAGAGCTAGGTAGGCCTTTTGACAAATGTGAGCAGATAAAGAGTAGACCATCTGAAGTGGGCTGACAAGGGACGGGTAGTGGCTGTGGCCACTGTGGGCTTGAAAGAGTAAGCAAGAGAGGTTCTGTTCACAGAAGGAGGGGCAGATCAGGCACCACAGAGACCAGGAAAACCTACTGACTGTGTGGTTTCTTGCTACTTATGGATTCCACTAAATACCAAGTCACCTAGAAGATGGGTAGGCTGAGTAACATACTGAAGATTGCTCTGGGTTCAAGGCAGGAAGGTCAAAAATGCAGTGAAAATCATTGCTTCCCTGGAGGAAAGCTATCCCTACTCAGGGGTCTTTGTTGCCTGCTGTGTTCTGGGCTGCATCCTAGGGTCTAGGAAACAAAAGGTGGGTAAAGGCACAGTCCTTATATTTAGGGAGTTTTATGAGTGCTCAAGGGTTAGGCCTTCAATGTACCCTGGCCTCATGCACAGCTGTGGCCAGTCCACAAAGGGTTGACTCATCTGGCCAGTTTTGTTCAGGGTCACTGGGTATAAGGCAGCAGCCAGGCCAGTATGAATATAGATGTGGGGCTCAAATTCCAACATACAATGAGGTATGGGGAGGGTGTGAGAGAGTTATGTGGGGTCCTCTCCTGGTTGTAGCAGTCAGGGAATGCTGTCTTGAAGTGAAGTTTATGCTGAGAGATGCAGGGTGGGTGAGAAAGAAGCCAGCAGAGGGATTCTTGGTAAGAGGAGGCCCAGCACATTTGAGAAACGAAAAGACCAAAAAATGTGGTGGAGGTGAAATACAGTTTGATTGGTTTTTGAACAGTATATTTGTATATTAAAAAGTCAAGAGATACAAGGTGTCTTGTCTTAGTTACTTAGTGCTGCTATAACAAGTACCACAGTGGATGCCTTTAACAAATTTGTTTTCTCATTTCTCACATTTTGAATCCACTGATATCAAGTTGATTCTGATTCATAGTGACTTTTTAGGACAACTGCCCTGCAGGGTTTCTAAGGCTGTAAATCTTTACTGAAGTAGACTGCTTCATCTCTACTGCAGCATAGCTGACGGATTTGAACCACTGACCTTTTGTTTAGCAGCTGAATGCTTTAACCACTACACCACCATAACTCTGTTCTCATAGTTTAGGAAGATAGAAGTCTGAATTCAGAATGCCTCCTGTCGGAGAGGGCTTTCTCCCTCTGTGGGCTCTGGAGGAAGGTTCTTACCTCTTCAGCTTCTGCTTAGTGGTTCTTTAGAGATTTCCATGTGTCTTGGCATCTCTTTTTTTCCCATCTCTCCTCTGCTTGTTTAATCTCTTAACATATCTCAAAAGATGCTAACTCAAGATAACTGTACATTAATCCTGCCTCACTAATGTAGCAAAGAAAACCCATTCCCAGATGGGATTTTAACCACAAGCATAATAGTTGTTATGTGCCATTGAGTTGTCTCTGACTCAGCAACCCTGGGTATAACAGAACAAAACATTACCTGGTTGTGCACCATCCTCATAATCCTTGCTGTGCTTGAGTCCATCATTGAGCCACTACGTTCATCTCATTGAGTTTCTTCCTGCTTTTTTGCTGACCCACTACTTGACCAAGCATGATATCCCTTCTCCAGGGACTGATACCTTCTGACAACATGACCAAAGTAGGTGAAATGAAGTCTGGCCATTCTCGCTTCTAAGGAGTGTTCTGGCTGTACTTTCGTGACAGATTTGTTTATCATTCTAGCAGTCCCATGGTATTTTCAGAAGTTAAGATTTCCAAAACATTTTTAGGGGGAGATAATTCAGTCCATTTCAGTGTCAGTGCTTTTTAAGTGGGGAGGACCTTGATTTGACTGCTGAGGTAGCTCCAATAATGGATTGGAGGGGAACAGTGTCCCTAGAAACTTCTGGAACTGGAGCATTGAGCTTAAATGTGCTGTCCCAGCCTGCCTGCCCCTACCTCCTGCCCCCACTGAGGACTAATGACTCAGCTTTTGAGTAATTAGTTGTTCAGGACTTTGGTCTTCAGGGACAGTGTTTCCAGGAGCTAGTGATAAAGCTGGATTCAAGCAGGGGAGGCACACCTGCTAGTGTTGTTCTTTTTTTCCTGGAAGCATAGTGACTGTTGAAGGGGTAAGCATTTTTTTTCCATTTGCATTTATTACAGTTTTTTTGAAGTGGAAGAGGAAGAAAAGGCTGTTTCCTGGAGAGGTGTAAGTGCATACCTGCTCTGTGGCATGTACCATGCTGAGCAAGCTCACACAGCCACTGAATGCCTCTTCAAGCACCTTTACAACTGAGCACAGCTAGCAATGACTTTTCCACATGCTGGCCACTGGCCCTAAAATGAGAGCCAGATGTCCTTGCCTGTGACTGAGCTAGAGAGATGAGCACTGCAAGAGCATCCCCCCACAGGGTGGCAGGTATGGTATGGGCACAGTTGGCAGTCCCAAGGATGAAGATTGGCACAGCCATTTGCTGTGTGGCCTGCATGAAGGACAACAA